CATAAATTAAAAAATCTTTAAAAAATAAAAAATAAAATTTTTATCTTAATTTAAATTTTAAAAAAATGTTATATGATATGGTATTGAAGAGGTTTTATATATGTTTGGAGCAATTTTGTTAGTGAATTATCTTTTTCAACTCTAACATTTGTAAAATCAAATATAGATGAACTATTTCCAAAGGCAATTTAACATTCAAAATGAAATGTATTATATGGGGCCTCCCTGGTGGCGCAGAGGTTAAAGACAACACTATCAAGCTATTGCCAGCCACTGCAGCATGAGTTTGATTCCCAGAAGGCCAGGAAGCTGACCCACATGGTACAGCAGACCTCTCCTGTCTGACCCGCTGCCAGCAGTATATCTCAGTAGATCAGCCTGTTCTGTTCCCCACTCTCTCTAGTGAATCCTCTTACCTCCCACCACCTGCATCTCCAGTTCTTGTATATATAAATAAATAAATCTTTTTTTAAAATGAAATGTATTATAAATATAGGATATACACCAGATTAAGAAGATTTAGTATAAAGATAATATAAATTCACTAACAATACTTGCATTGACCACATGTTGAAATGTTATCTTACATACATTGCATTAAATAAAATATATTATTAAACTAATTTTATCTGCTTCGTTTATAATGCAACCACTAGAAAAATTTCAATTACATGTGTGGCTCACAATATATGTCTGTTGGACAGTGATTATCTGGGGTTAAAGTACCCAGGAGTCTTAAAGCTCTAATTCCCCCCTTCTTCTCTTCCATGTTTGTGTACTTCACATTAGTGACTGTGTCATATGCAATTTTTTTAAAGATATATTTATTTATGCATACAAGAGCAGGGGTACAGGCCAGAGGTGTGAGGAGTGAGAGGATTCACCAGAGACAGAGTGGGGAGCAGAACAGGTGAATCCACTGAAATATACTGCTGAGGAGAGCAGCGGGCTAGACAGGAATGGTTTGCTGCACCATGTGGGTTGCTCCCTGGCTGGCCAGGGATCGAACTCGAGCTGCAGAGGCTGTGGATTGCTTCATAGTGCGGTGCTTAACCCTTTGCGCCACCAGGGAGGACCCCATATGTGATTTTTTAAATTTACATAAGGATAATTTAGACTTAGCAGAATGTTTGCTGGTTTCTTCATCCACCTGCACACGTGGCATTCCACACTTGGCCACCTAACTATCTGACCTCACTGCAGGCTGTGTGACTCTCGGCATCATCAGTGACACCCAGCCCCAAGCCCTGGCCAGACACCTGTTTGCCACATGTGCGGGGGCCCTCTAGGCCCATGTCTAACAGCTGCTGCTCTGCTCCCTCAGTGGAGCCGGCACTGCAGGAGGAACAAAAGGCAGGGCAAGCCTGAGCTGCAAACAGGAGTTGGGCCTCCTGAGAGCTCTCTGTTAAGCTTTCACAGACTGCTGGTCTTTCTGTGGCGGACAGCCATGCTCACATTCACCTCCGGTTCAGAGCGGTAATGGGATGAGGCACCACCTTGTCCGTTTCCGTTAGTCCCCTTTCTGAAACTATATCTGATTATCCTGATTACCATACCCTCTGGGGCAGAGTAAGGGCCCAACCTGACCAGGGTTCTGCTCAAAGCGTCCTCCACTCTTCTAAGGCCTTTGGGGTTCATTCCTCCATTTCTCTGCTCTCTTTGCCACATCCTAGCAATAAGCCAGGGCCGGGGCTAGAGGGAGGCAAATTACCTCTTTAAATGTTGTACACTAAATGTATCACTCTCGTCCCAGCTCTGAGTACCCCTGAAAAATGAGCTTCTCCTAGATGCTATGCAGATATCTACCTGAAGCACCTGAGGTGAACAGAACGCCTCCTCAGATGGGTCTCTGCAGACCCAGAACTATACAGCTGGAAAGCAGAAGCCGTGTGCCCAGAGCGCCATCTGGTGGCCATGGTTGCCATTACAGTCAGGATTGCTTGGTACCTATATCAATTAGCTGTTTCTTCTACACAATAAATGGGAAATCTTCTGCAAAAAAGGAGGAAACAATCCCTGAACTCCAGCATCAGCCTAAATATTTACACACATTAAATGACACATGGTATTTCAATGTTCATTTATGTTTTATAACACCTAGAAAACTTATAACAACTAGAAAAGTATAACTTAGCTTTGTAAATCAAAAAGTTCCCTAAGAGTGGGCCTCCCCGGTGGCGCAGCGGTTGAGCGCTGGGTTGCGAAGCTGCCCGCAACCTCTGCAGCGCCGGTTCAATCCCCGGCTGCTCCCCGGCCACCGGAGGAGGGTCCCGCATGGCGCGCAGACCTCTCCTGCCGCCCACTGCTCCCCTCAGCAGTGTACTTCGGTCCTTCTGCCTGCTCTGCTACCTGCTCTGGCTCTGGTGAATTCTCTCACCATCCTGCGCTTCTGACTATACCCAGTGCTTGTATAAATAAATAAATAAAATAAAATAAAATAAAACAAATCTTTAAGAAAAAAAATTTCCCTAAGTACTTTTAATTAAATGTGATCTTCAGTGTGTTTCTGATTCACTGAGCAGAGGCCTCCAGGGGATCTTCGTGACTACCCTGATTTCTGGTGGCTTCCAATTCCCCTGAGCCACTACACACAGGACCCTAATTCATAAAGTCAGTCAACCCAGGGATGGTGACAGTTCCTGGTTAGGGTGTGGGTTCCCACCCAGTCTTCTCAGCAGTAAAGGGGGGCTGGTCAGGAAAGTCTCCCAAGAGGCAGTCACCGTCTGTAGGGTAAGTAAAAATGTCAGGCTTTTCTGCCCTCCCGCCATCAGGATAGAAGATGGAACCCTGAGGTCCTGAATGCATGCCTGATGGCGGGCACCTAGAGTAGGGTGTGGGCATAGGTAGATGGGATTCGCCTGGGCTGAGACTGGGCTTTTAAGGGCGGCATCACGGGGATGCCTGCAGAAGCCAAAAGAGAAGCCGAGAGAGAAGCAAGAGAAGCAGAAGCTGAGAGAAGGCCAGAAAGCCCAGAGTGAAGACCTGCTGGGGGCTGGGAGGCCTGCCAGGCCTCCCGGCCCTCTAGCACCCCTGCCTGCCATATGCCTGTTGAACCCCAATAAAAAACCTGCAAAAAGCCACTAAGAACTCTGACTCCTCCTTTACCCGGTTTGCATGGGATCAGAAAACCTGCACCGTGTCCTGTCCTGACCCTACACCATCCCAACATACTGAACATTAGGATAGACATGCTTTACCCTCCCTGGTGGTGCAAGGGGTTGAGTCTCAGCACTATAAAGCTATTGGCAGCCACAGCAGCACAAGTTGGATCCCTGGCCAGTGAGCTGACCCTTCCTGTCTCGCCCACTGCTCCCCTCAGTAGTCAGTCTGCCTGTTCAGTCTGCCTGTTCTGTTCCGCACTCTGTCTCTGGTGAATCCTCTCACCCCCTGCACCTCTGGCCTGTACCCCAGCTCTTGTATGCAAAAATAAATAAATATTGGGGGGAAAAAGATAGACATGCTTTCTGCCACTTAGTGCCAATGTAATTTTAAACACAAATGCAAAATCAGACACTGAGAGTGTTTGGTTTTAAGTGAGCCATCCCATCTTCTAAAAAAGGTCTACTTTTCAAGTTATCGTATATATTAAAATTCACACTTTTTAAAGATGGGCAGGAAACCTGGTTTGGGAGCTGCAAACTGCCCTAATTATGTGCTCCTGGAGGGAGTGGAGGGAACAAGCACTTCTCTAGCTCCTGTTAAGGGCACTGCAGCAGCGCCAGGGACAAACACAGAGCACTTAGCTAAGTTCTTAGCATGACTTACCTTGCTCAATCCTCACAACAGACTCTTGGAGTCAGCAGTATTGTTATCCTCATTTTACAGATTGGGGGCAGGGGTGGGGGAGACTCAGAGATATAACTAACCCGGTGACCTAGGTAAATGTCCAGGGCAGGAGTCAAACTTGACTTTGTCTGACTCCAAAGCCCTCTTTCTTCCCCCTGCATCTCCTGTCCCTCACCTAGCAGAGTTAGTCCTACACAGAAAAGGCCAGAAATGCTGTTTTCCAATCAAGTCCCTAGTAGGAGTGGGGACTGCTAGTGTCCAAAACAGGACACTATGTCTTGCTTCTCAGAAACCCTGAGCTCTGGCCCAATAGCAGGCCATGTGCCAGCAACCTCTTCTACATGGTCTAGCTTGTCCTACTCTCAAGGAGCTCCAAGAACTGGTGGGAGGTTTATCCCATTGCCTGGGGGGAGGGGGAGTTGTGACCACCTGTCTCTGCATCACCTCCCTGATGCTGAACTACCAGAGACTCTGCCCCAGCTCTGCCCAATTGCCAAATCAGGCTCTCCAAGGCCGCCTGTTCATGGCCAGTCACCTGGGCCTTATTCAGAGAGGAGAGGGAGGGGCGACACCCAGCCCAGGGGAGGGGGAGGTGGCTCTCAGGGAATGGGGTTCTCTGCCCACCAGACACCCACTGGCAGGACGGGTTAATGAAGGCCGCCTGCCTTCTTCACTCCTTGCTCTTGCCTTTCAAGAGCTTGTGAATCTGGCACCTTGGGAAATGAGCCACATTTTCTTGACCTCAGTTTCCCAATCAGCCTAGGAGGCACAGGGGAATCCCTTCACGCTGAGACCTGAGATCCCTCCTCCTGGGCAACCTGAGGGCTGTTCCCCTGAGATAATTTTTCCAGCCCCAACTGAAGACACAGGACTGGACTAGCTGTGTGGTATTCAGCTTTAGGGAGAAGACTCCTAGGAAGCACCAGGAATCCCCTGCCAGCCGCACGTAGCCCCAGGAAAAGTGCGGCTTCTGCTGTAGGTGGGGTGATTTTTAGCTCTGGCTGGTGGACCCAGAGCCTGGGAGGGACGCAGAGATGGGGGCCCGCGAGGGAGGCTGGGATCCAGGCCCGGAGAGGCGGCGCCCGCTGCCGGCCGCCAGGGGGCGCTCTGCACCAAGTCAAACCCAGGATGGCATCTGTGCGCGCCCCTGCAGCCCCCGCTCTTCCTGGAGGAGGTCAGTCTCACCCGGAAAACATTTCCTGAGCCGAGACTGCTGCAGCCTCTTAGCAGGCCAGAAAGGCCATCCACGCATCATCCCCAGAGATACCCGGGAGCCAAGGAACCTGGATCTGACTGATGATGTCCGTCCTGGACAGCTTCCTTCTGGTCCTGCCCACCTCCCCAGCCCACTCGTCACATGGGGGGGCCAGGGGCAGGGCTAAGGCCAGGCCCGCGGGGTGAGAAGCAGGGGCGGGGAGCCGGAGCGCTCCCTCCAGGCGGTGCCCTGAAGAAGGATCCTCAGGCAGCGGAGACAGAGGTGTCCTGCTCCCCGCTCTACCAGGTGAGCAGACCCGGGCCAGACACCTCGCTAGAATCTTTCCTGGAAACCTGATAGGCACCTGCCTGCCAGGACCCAGATACCCGCAGGGTGATGGGGTACTTAGTACCCATGTCACACACAATGGCAGCTGGGGACCCTGTGGGAGATGAGTGAGGTGCCAGCAGGTATACAAACGGCTAGGCTGGTTCAGGCTAAGTGGGGACACTTGTCCACACTTGTGCCACACACGGGGTGGCAGTGAAGGCCAGGGCAACCTGGATTTGAATCTCCCCACCTCCACCATGTTGAACTTTGTAACTTGGGGTGACCCACCATTCTGTGGTAATACCTCAGGTGCTGCTGGATAAATACTTGGTCCAGTCAGCACCTACTAAGTGCTCATTCCCACTATTAATAATGCCTGCAGATGGGATGATGCCCGGGTGCAGGACACACTGGTCTGAGTCCAGGATGACCTGGTGTTCCTCTGTGGCTGGTGCCAACCAGAGCTGCTCCTAGCTGAGTCATCCCCCTGCTCTCTTTCCGCGGTGCTGCTTGGCAGGCTGGAAGCTCTGCCCAAGCTGTGCTGAGCTTAGCTGGGGTGTGGCTTGCTCTTGAACTCCACCGCTGAGAAAGGTGGGTGACTAGAGAGCAGTTTTCCGGTCTCCTCTGCCCCTGAGGTCATGCTCCCCTGGCTGGTTTACAGAAACCACCATATTTGCCCTTTCACCCAGGTTTTCCACAAATCAGATGCCTGTGCCCTAGGATGCGATACCCCCAATGCAAGATGAGGTCTGCAAAGGTTACTCCTCTAGCTCATGTCCTCCTGGTATTATCATGCCCCCCCACACACACACACACATACATATGCCCCATTGCTGTGATGTCAATGGGGAATAGTGAGAGAGAGGCAGGGACCTACACAGGGCACACTGCACAGTCAGGACACAGGCCTAGCTCACCATCTCCCAGACAGTGCTGTGATAGCAGGACTGCAATTGGGTCATAGTCAGGGGAAGGGCAGGGGCTGGGAAAGAAAGTAAAAGAAATCAACATGCCCAAGGGGAATAACATCTCACACTTACACATACACACACGCACACTCCAGGGCCAGTCTCACCTGTCTTTAAAACAATCTTCAGTGTATTTTCCCCTCCCCTGGATCACAGTGTCCTGGTCTCTATCCTAGCATCTATCTCTTCCCTATACCACCCTTTGTGTCTTGAAGCTAGTTCCCCCCAGCTTTTGGGACAATACCAGGTTGCTTTAGCCAGTTAGTATATCTCATCCCCCAGTCATCAGAATTGATTCAGTGATGGATTAGTGGCCCAATCAAGACCATGATGCTTAGGAAGGTAGGAAGGGCACTCTCCCCGGCACTTCTGGGAGAGACACTAAAAGATATGATCTTTCTTCTGATTATGAAGGGAAAAGTATTAGCTCCCAGAGCCAATGTCTAGCATTTTTAAATAATAAAGCAACCTTGTTGAAGATGAAACAGACACCACCCCAAGAAGCAAAGAAGAGAACTTGGGGGAGGGGAAAAAGAAAACAGGTGTGGTTGATGGTGTCAAGCTGCTGGATCAAGCCATGCCTGAAGCCCATATAATGAGAGCTTTCCTACTAAAGAGTCCATTAATCTTCCTTTATTTTTAAGTCAGTTTTAGTTGTCTGTTTTGTTTCTAGCAATTGAAAAGTTTTTATCTGATTATCATCTTTTCACCAAAATGGTGGGGGTGGGGGATGGGGAATGGATATTCTGAAACTATAAGTATAAGGTAAAATATAGGCTACTCCATTAAATCCAAATTTCAGATTAACAATGAATACCTTCTCAGTAAAAGTTGTTACCCATGCAGTATTTACTTACATTAAAAGAATAACTGAGTATCCTGTATTTTTATTTACTGAATCTGATAGCCCTATTTCAGTAGTATGTTCAAATTCACACTACTAGAAAAAGGAAAAACCTGGACATGGACCCAGAGTTTTTAATTCAAAAGTCCTGTCTATACCACGTCATGGTATAGTGGACTGCTTCCTCTTATTCCTCCCTCTCCACCATCTGCCTCCCAGACTGTGTGCTTAGAGAAGACAGAGGGATGTCTCTCTGAGTCCCCACGGGTGTCAGAGGTTTATTGTAGCTCCACAATCCTCAGGCCTGACACTCCACTCCTTGAACATCTTAGCTCTGCTTCCATTTCTGCCTCTGGACTTTGAGGCTTCATCTCTTCTCACTTTGCAATTTCCACTTCACAATTTGCAAACCAAAACCTCATTTCTCTTGGACCCAAGCACATGCTGGCTTCTCTGGCTTGGGCCTTGCTGCCAGCAGATCAGCTCTCCCCAGCTGGCTCCCTCTGTTCCCAGGGCCCCAGGTCACTCCCTGGAGCACAGCCTGGCCCTTCCCCTCTACAGTTCCCATGTTCCTCTTGGGGAACACCAACAACAGGAGCTGTGCATGGCTCACCAAGGCACAGAGCATGGTGACACTGCCCACTGAATGCTGTCTAGTAGCTTACAGTCCAGTGGGGTGACAGCTCAGCTCCTGCTTCCCCACAGCCCCAAGTGGGAGTGAGCTTTGGCAAGGCTTGTTTTATTTGTGTACTAGTGATTGGGTCTGTAAATCACAAACACACTACAGCTTAATACAGTAGAGGGAGACAAGAAGGATGATGGGAAGAACATTCTGGTACATGTCCTCCCAGGAGTTGCTCCTCTGCCTATGTGAACTCCTTGTGTATTTAAAGGGGACCATAGCCTCCCCCCACTTGGACCTGCCTCTCCCTTACATTGCCAAAACCACTATCTCAGTGATGTTGAAGCCTGCAGAAACATCACCAGGCTGTTTCCTGACTGGGATTTTTTTTTTCAATTTTTCATAATTATAAACTATGCAATCATGGTGCTAATTTTCCCAAAATGGGAGGAGAAGCCACACTATTAGCAGCCAGCATGCCGGGGTAAGGGTCTGCCTCTGGGGGCTCCTGGGGTTTTGTCCCTTACTTCACCTACACCACATAACCTCCACCTCCTCACTGACGTACGAGAGACACAATAGCATCTAAAAGCCATGCGCAGGTTTGCAGGTGCTGTTTGTACCCATTTTCAAGGATCTCTGGGAAATAAAGCTCCTCTTAAATCCAGGTCAGCTGATTACAAAGATCAAACAGCATCTGGCGTGTGTTGCTTGCTTTGCTATTTTCTACCCACTGACTCCTCGATCCTTCGTTCTCTCTGAGAGGTAGTTGTCATTCTTGTTCTCATTTTCCAGACTTGAGGAACTGATACCTTAGGCCCCATGACTTGTTTGAGGCTGTTCCAATATCTCTGGGTACATTTGCATTTAGGGGGCTAATTCTTCACAACAAGGCTTCTAGTTTGAGATCCAAGAAACACCAGATAAAGGGCATTCTAAATATATTTCTTTTCTATAGATGCTGATCTCCTGTTACTGGAAAACAGGAATTAGCTTGTCTGCTTGAGGATGTGGTTGGTTCTTTATAAAAAGGATATACAAGAAATTTGCGTGTAGACGGCCAGCTTCATTATGCTGCCAACGGCTTCCAGCAGAAGAAGAGCATTTGCAGCCAGCTATTTCAGTAAGAATTTTATTTTATTCTATGTGGGATGTGACTACCTTTGCTTTTGGCTTCTTTCTTGAGGGGTGGGGCCACCCAAGGGCACCCAGAGGGGCTGTCTTGATCGTATGGGCTGAGAGCACCTAGGGGCATCTGTGGTCAGAGCCTGGCACAGCTCTCACCCCTCAACTAGGGAGCTATTCCACATCCACATCTGCTTGGATAAGCAGCCTTCCTTTTGCTCGTGATTGCTGGGGGCCTTGATGAGTGACTCAGGCTTCTGATGGCATTCAGGGTCTGTGAGAACCATGGACTGAGGACGTGGGAGGCACGTCCTTCCCAGGGAGAACTGTGACTCATAGCTACTCTGTACCTACTTGTAGACAGTTTAGTCAGGCAGTTAATTCAGAAGCGAGGAAGATGGTTCAGTAGCCCCAGAAAAGTGCCTGGGAGGTAATTCAGGCAAAGTAGGTCCACCGTCTGGGTGATCAGATAGGTGGGTCACACAGGTGCCATCTATGGGGTGTCTCACAGGGGCTGGCTGGGTGGGTGGATTGCACAGGAGCTGGCTGGGAGGTTGTCCAGTGACATGCCATTGTCTCTGGGCCTGGGCACCCTCAGATGATGAGTGGGTATTTGCAGGGACAAAGATCCAGTTCTGTGATCACAAATCCAGGTGGCCTGGATCCCACGCTGGGCCGGGCACATGCTGGGGACACACCTCATGGAGCCGGCCTCTGAATATCACTGTCTGCAGTAACGGGTGGGGAGCAGTTGAGATTGGTCTCTAATGCCTAATGCATTGAGCGGGGGAAGACGGTCTGTGAAATCTTCAGTTATTTTCTTTGATATTTTCTTTGGCTTGAAAGGAAAAGTTACCTGCTCTTGTGGAAATTTCCAGTCACGAGATTTCCATGGTGTAGACGACATACAGATACTAGTCTTTGAGAGAAGGTGAAATGAGATACTGCTCAAGAGATCCTAATTTAAAGAACATGACGGGACTGATTTTGAACTGCAGTGAAGTGCACATGACAAAATACAGTGAATTCAGTGGCAGGTGGTCCATTTATGGTGTGCAACCACCCCCCTCCAGTCTTCAACGTTTTCACTGCCCCACAAGAAAACCTCACTCCCCTTAAGCAGAGTTCCCTGCAGCCCTGCCTCCCCACCCCGCACCCGGCAGTCACTCTGCTTTGCATCTCCGTGGACTGACCTCTTCTGTCTGTTTCAGAGAAATGGAATCACACATGTGACCTTTGTGACTGGCCTCTTTCATGTAGTCATGTTTCTTCTGCGGCCCATTGCCATGGTAGCATGCATCAGTGTTTCATCCCTTTAGATTGCATTAATTTTAAATCATCACGTGACCAGAAACTGTTTGACAACTTTGTAAAAGAAAAAAAAAAAAAAAAGAAAGAAAGAGAAGGACCAACAATGCCAATCTGGGGAGGCTTTGGAAGGAGAGAGCAGCACCGGGAGGCAGGTCCTCCCGCTATCCTAGGTCTCTCATGTCCCATCTCTCCATGTTTGAATCTGTCTTTGTCTCCCTCTAGCTCTGTCTCTGTGTTTCTCTGTCTCTCTGTCTTCACTGCCTCTTCTCCTCCCTCCATCTCTTGCCCCGTAGATTATGGAGGAGATTATTAGGGAATTTAAGCTTTCTTTTAGCTGAAATTTTCAGGGTAAAAGAAGGTTCTTTGGGAGTGGATTGTGATGCTTTACTTCACTTCCTTAATATGCGTTTGATTTTGCCACATCGAGGATCTGCCCTATAGCAAGAAGCCGGAGCTAGGCAGTCCAGTCTGTGTCCCTCCTGCAGGGAGACCTGCCCTAATGCTCTCACACATAAATGGATGCCATCCTTGGCTCCTCCACTTATAAGCTGTGCCTGTGGCCCCATCCTGCCAACTCAAACCAGCTCAGCCTCTTTGCTCACCAACTTCCCAAACTCCTCATCATTGGTCTTCCCAGTACTTGCCCTGGATAGATGACTTCTTGTTGGGCACTGCCCACTGCACATCTGAATCACAGTGGGAAGAGATATAGTGGTGTCTGCCCAAACCAACCCGGGTGTCCAGAGAGAAGGACCCAGCTCTGACTCCAACCATTTCTACAGGCCCCCAACCACCAGGCCCATAGCTCATCTTCAGAACCAAGACCAGGGAGCCGCTGGGATGGTCATCCTTCATTGCATCCCTCCCTTGGGCCTCCTCAACTCTTTGGCTTTGCCCACTGGGCCTTTCTCTAGGGTATACCCTCTCCCCTCCCTGCTATAGATGGTAGGGATATTAGGGGGCAACGAGAACCTAGGTAGGGAGGCAAGAGTGTGTCCTGCTAGAATAAGAGACTTAGAGGACAGGAGATGAAGTCATAGGAAGGGGAGCAGTGGGGCATAAAGAGGAGCGAAACTTGGCCTCTTTCTCATGGACTGTAGGGAGCTATTGGAAGTTGCAAGCATAGGGCTAATCAGATCAAAATTGTTGAATAGGAGGAGTGACCTGAGCAGGATGTGAAGTCAGCTGTCAACTGGGGGTCACCTTCTCATTGGTGCTGCTGGTTCTGCCCTTGGCTCCTCCATCTCCTCTCCATAAGTAGCTAGAGCACAGCTCCTTAAACCTAAATCTGATTAACACACCCCAGTGGATACCCACTGTCACTTCTCCATCTGGCCCATCATCACCATCACATCATCTCTTTTCGTGTGCCCCCACCCACTTGGCACCAACACCACCCTCCTTGCTGTGCCTCGCTTGTGTCTTTGCTTGTGCTGTCCTCTCTCTGGAGCTCCTTGCCCCCAACTATCCATATGGCTCACAAAATCACCTTCTTCAGACTTTTACCCTAATGTCACCTTCTTTTGAGACTTCCGCTGGCCGCCTATGAGTCATAACGTGGCCGCCATTACAGAACCTTTGAGCTGGGAGACGTGTGATGGGCGCACCTCTAGGCAAGAACGCCATGGACTCTCCCTGCTCTTACCTAAAGTACATCAGTTTTGGGACCATAAGTGCTTTTTGGATTGCTGCATGCTTATGATCAATTTCCAGGGTATGGAAATGGTTGTTTTTATCAATTTTGTCTAGATTTACAGTTGCATTTGGAGAAGAGGCTTTCAGCCACAGTCAGACTCGCCCTGTCTTCCCTCTCCCATTAAGATATCGACACTGTGCTGCAGGCTTTATTGCCACCACGATTGGTTGTTATTCATGCACCACTTAGAATTAGTAGGAGAGGGGTGAAAGCTCAGGTTGAAGACATCTGCACAGTGCTCCAAATATGCCTGACACCTAGTATATGTTTAATGGCTGTTGAATGAATGAATGAATGAAAGGCATGGAGCGAGGATTAATGAAAGTCAGGTGGACTTTTGAGAACCTGAATCAGTAAAAATGGAAAGGGGACAGCAATTTCAAGAGATACTGGGGAGAAATATGGGCGATGCTTGGCAGTGTTGCACAGGGGGTGTGAGGGTGTCTGGGGTTTCCATCTGGGTAGCAGGATACTCGGTTTGGTGGTGTAAAGTAATCCTGCAGAAACCAGGCCCTTCATCATAGAGATAAAAACACACACGCACACACACACCGCTGGCCCAGTAGTAAAAGTTGAAGGAAGCTCCGTGGGAAGGTGGAGCAGCAGCAAACCCAGTTGCTTCTTCATGCTGGTGAGGTAAATCAGGCTGCCCTGGAATAGCAGCAATGTGTGCAAGCTGCAAAATGGCTGCTGCTCCCTCCCAGCTCCCCAGAATCTCACTGTGACCCAGCACAACGGGAAACATACAAGAAAGGGAATTCCAGGAAGCACCCAGCCTCGCATTACAGTCATTACAGAACCTCCTCCCTGCTTTGGGCTGTGAGAAGCCAGTGGAAGGTTGGAAGACTTTCAGAGATTCTAGCAGCAAATCTCTGGGGAAGGTGGCTGATGGGTGGGGCACAAGGAACTTAGACAGGGAGACTTGTGAGGTAAGATGCCATTTCAACAGCCCCGGGAAGGACTGGTGAGAAGCTGCACCAAACAGGAGTGATAGAAACAGGATTAAGTCTGCACTATTTTTTTTTTTAAATAATAAATTTTATTTTTATATTCCCCCATACAATTGCAAACGCCCCATTCTGACCCCAATCCTTCTGCTCCCACCCCCCACCCCCCAAAAAGTGTCTCTGGTTCATAGTTTTTTGTTGATTTTGATTTGATGATGATATGATAATATACATAGAGAACCCCAAAATCTCCACAGAAAAACTAATTCAACTCATCAATCAATTCAGTAAAGTGGCAGGATACAAAATCAACACGCAAAAGTCAGTAGCCTTCCTATACACAAACAATAAATCTGAAGAAGAAGAAATCAAAAAAACCATCCCTTTTATTATCGAAACAAAAAAAATCAAATATTTGGGAATAAATCTAACAAAAGAGGTAAAGGACCTATACAAAGAAAACTATAAAACACTGTTAAAAGAAATAGAAGAAGACACAAAGAAATGGAAAGACATCCCCTGCTCATGGATTGGAAGAATAAACATTATTAAAATGGCCATCCTTCCAAATGCAATATACAGATTCAATGCTATTCCAATCAAAATCTCAATGGCATTCTTCAAAGAAATAGAACAATTATTGATGAAATTCATATGGAATCACCAAAAACCCCGAATAGCCAAAGCTCTACTGAAAAAAAAAGAAGGAAATGGAGGCATCACACTCCCAGACTTCAAACTATACTACAAAGCCATAATCATCAAAACTGCATGGTATTGGCACAAGAACAGACATACAGACCAATGGAATCGAATAGAAAATCCAGAAATAAACCCACAGATTTATGGTCAAGTCTGCACTATTCACTAAAGTGAGTGCACAGGTCTCGGTGGCTGGCTGCGTGTGGAAGGGGGCGCAGGAAGGAGGACAGTGAAGCCCAGCCTTCCAGTTTGGGCAGCTAGGAGGGCAGAAGGGCCTTTGTTTGGAAGGAGGACACAGGAAGAGGGACAGATGTGAAAGGGACTGCTTGGTGCCCTTTCTGA